AGATGCGGGCATTTATTCAAAGCTTTTAAATTTCAAAAAAAAAAAAAAAAAAAAATGGCGCCCGGCTAGGAAGATTCAATCAAGCATGGGATAATCAAATCCCGGGCTCGATTTACAATTCTGAATGCCTACATTTGCAACCTCATTCCGAAATAGGCTGCAAGTGTAGACATACCCTTTCTAATACTAGACAACATTGGATGTTCAAAAAATTTACATTTTCTGAAAAAAGTTACTGCAGTTAAAAGGGAAAATAAAAAAGGTTTCTAAAAGCCTAAGTATGTTGTACTGATAGAATGTATGTTGTGTTTTCTTTTTTTCAGTTGGTAATGTGGGCGATGGTGAGTCTTTTTACATATATCATTTTTACATTTCTACATATTTTAATTTTCAGTGGTATGTAGTTAGCTAACATCTTTCTGTGTTCTGGCTTGGAAAACGACACCGACCTGTGAATGAGATTTTGATTGCAATGAAATTGAAACCCTGGAAATATGAAGTGAGTTTCAGATGTGGGAAAAGAGGTTCAGAGTGCTGGACCCAAAAGTCTGCTATTCCTTCATGGAGAAAGCCCAGCAAATAGCACTATCTGAAGCAGCCAGGATAGCAGAAAACTCCCCAGTTTTGTGTTATGTGAAGGCTTAAATAACATCTCTGTACTCACTTTCTTCGTATCCTTCATGGGTTTTATGGACTTCTATCCTATGCCTCCTGAGTGGTCTTTTTTGGAAGTTGAACAGTCCCAGTCTCTGTAATTTCTCCTAATCTGGAAAATCTCTTATAACTCTAATTAATTTCTCATACTCTCTTTACTTTTTTCTGTGCATTTCGTCATGTTTGCTAACATATTTTTAGCTTTTCTGACTGCACATTGAACGAAGGTTTTCAAAGAACTATCCATTATGACAGATTTTTTCCTTGAGAGGTAACTGGTAGTTTAGATGATAACTTTTGAATACACATGTGAGAGAATTTTTCAAATGTTTTTTTCAATGTTAATCCGTATGTGTGATTTGGTCACAATCACTCCCAGTAATAAATTATTTTTCCATGTCTGCATCCATCACATCTCAATTGGCTCCATTGTTATGAAAGAGACAAACTACCAGTCATGTATTAATAATAATTGCTTTGCATCTGTTTAAGGGCTGGCCTTGAGACTGGTGAATTCAGCCAACAGATGTGAAGGTCGTGTGGAAGTCTATTATAAAGGATCCTGGGGAACAGTGTGTGATGATTCCTGGGATCTCAATGATACAAATGTTGTGTGCAGGCAGCTTGGATGTGGATATGGTGTTGAAGCAAAGGGCAGTGCCTATTTTGGTCAAGGCTCAGGAAATATTGTCCTGGATGATGTAAACTGCAGAGGATGGGAAAACAGCCTGTGGAACTGTTCTCATGCAGGATGGCTCACTCATAACTGTGGTCATTCCGAGGATGCCGGTGTCATTTGTTCAGGTAAGCAGCCAAAGTTTGCTGGTGTCTTGCAGTTGAATGATTGGCATGAAAAATGCCATGTGAGGAACCTCAGGGATCTGTGGGCTGAGAGACCTCATGCTCCTGTCCCGGAAGCCAGATCTGCTGGCCACTTCAAGCGTGCAGCACGATGTCCTGCATCGTGCAGGCACAGCGCAGCCTGCCTTGGCTCCAGCGACAAGGGGCTGCCCATGGAAGGTTCAGGAAAGAAGAACCTCAATGTATGCCACAAAAATAAAGAAGAAACTCAATGTATGCCGCAATAATGATCAAAATAAAAGCTTCCCAAGAAAGTAATTTACATTTTTAATAATGGTTAATGCAAGAATGTGTATTTATTAAGCAATAAAACCACCAATTCTTCCCTCCTTACTAATGTAGCCTCTTATTTTGTCTTTGTTTTCTCAAGGGAGCCCAACACCTATTTATGAAACTTCGACACTCGTTCCTGGCATTACTAGAAGTACACAGCCATTATTTACCACCACTTGTAAGCTCCGATTTATTCTTGATTTGCTAAAATTGTATCTATTTTATATTGTACCCACCTGCTGAAAATAGGGAATAGAGTTTTACAGTTTAATGATCACTTTCTTTGACAAATGAATGTAGTCAGTGAAGAAAGCAGTGTATGCCATGTAGATGCCATGTATCTGGACTCAGATGTAAGGCATCTGACCTGTGTCTCAGAAATATTCGTTGGCCACATCAGTTAGTATTATCCTGGGTCTAAATATTAGCACATGGCTGAAAAACAGAATGATGAATGCCTGAGGAAGTATCACGATATGCAACGTTTCCACTTTTACAATAGTGATCACAGAGTTTTTGCAGAAACTTATGCCTGAGGAGGGTTTCAGATGCA